CAGTTAACTTGAGAGTCTAAAATAAGAAGAGAAGGTTGATGAACAACTATGGGGAACTCTAGCATTTAAAAGAGGGGCAGGGAAAGAACCACTTACAGGCAACTGAGTAGGGTGGTTAGGGAGGTGGGAAAACCAGAGAGAGTCACTGAAAAAGGGGGAGAGGTCCCTTGTCAGTGCAGGAACCTTTGCATTGCACCATGCTGCTGCCCGGTGCATCCCAGCCTCTGAAGGGTAGGTCAGGGGACGTGGCCCAGGCCACACAAGGTGTGAATGAGGAAGCCAAGTCTTGACCAGCTCAGCAGTCCACCCAGTAGCTCGCTTTATTTAGTTGAATGTTTTGAGGTACGAGAAATATGAGATAATTTGCCTTTTGGCTCTTAGAGGCATTTCATGTTCATAACATTTCATGTTCTGAGTGCATGGACTAGAATGAAAGAAGTATTTTTCTTTAAAGATTTTATTTTTAGAGAGAGGGGAGGAAAGGGAGGGAAAAAGAGAGAGAAACATCAAATGTGTGATTGCCTCTCACGTGGCCCTCACTGGGGACCTAGCCCATGACCCAGGCATGTGCCCTGCCTGGGAATCAAACTGGCAACCCTTTGGTTTGAAACCTGCAGTCAATCCACTGAGCCACACCAGGCAGGGCAAGAAGTATTTTTCTTGATTCACTGATGAAACCTTTATTTTGTCTGTGAAATATAGGAGTGATGATCCTCTCAGAATAGAGTAGGGTTGTGACAAATTAAGTGAATAAGCATCATACGTAGTGCTGAGCCTGTACACAGTAGGTAGTCAATGAGTGGTAGTCACTTCTCTGTGTGTGTTGCTTTCTCTCTGTCTCTCTCTCTCGCCTAATAGAAAACTAGTGCCTTGTAAATCAAACTGCTGTTTTGGAACTGGAGTTTTTCATATGGCAGATTTCCATGAAGAAAAAAATGTTGTAATTATTGATTGAATGGTGCTGTTAGAATTAGAATTGGGTTCATAACAAATAGGAACACCGTTTGATAAACTTGCAAACAAAACAAAGCCAAAAATTGTATTTGCTATCCCCTAGTTGATTCTGGCCCTCCGTTTCAAATTAATTAGATTTTTGGATAACTGTGCTAAACTTTGTCACATCCTTATTAAAATTGTTTAAGGATTTTGAAGAGCATCTCAGAGGGGCTCTGAAACTAATCTGAATCTGGTTCTGGAGATTCTATTAGCAATCACAAAACTGATTAATCTTTTACTCAGTTAGCTTATTGATTATTGCTGCAATTACTACATGTAATGGATTCTGCAAGGGACACCAGCAGAAAACACGTTTTATAACTGCTGCTGATACATTCAATTTGAGCACAACACTGTATACTTTTTATACATAACTATTTCTGTATTTTTAAATGCCAGAGCACTTCTCAAACAGTATTGTGCTTAATATTGTTACAGTATTAAGTGGATCACTTTTAATTTCTTAACTAGTAATAATACATTATGGTTTACAGTGTGCCTTCACTAATTCTATTGCTATTGTTTAATTTCGAACTTCACACTAATCGTATGTCATAGAATAGATCTCTTTACTCTCATTTGGAGGAACCTAAGGTTCACTGAGGTTAAATGATTTTTTGAAGGCCATTACAAGTTAGTAAGTGGCAGAGTCAAGTTGGACCCCATTTCAAGCAATACATATTTATCCTGTACCTGCTGTATGCAGGGATTTGTATGAGGGGTAAGGAAAGCCAAGACAGGATTATAGGGAGTAAGGTCAGGAAGTTTTTTAGGTAACTTCAATTTACGACTTCAGTAATGTTATAATGGTTCACTTTGTTACTTTTCTTTCTGAACCATGTTAAGCATCTCAGCATACAGGATTTAGGCTTTTGTTTGTTTGGCTAGTTGTTTTTTCAGTTTGTTTATATCTAGTAGAAGTCTTTGTCATCATTGTTTATATTTTACCACTATTTGGGACAAAATGGGAAAGAATCCCTTTAAAGGGAGAACACATAAAAACATCGAGAGGGTCGAAATCTGCAGCTTACTAAGTGCTGTCTTAGGTTTTCTCATGTGAGTCCCACATTAGTCCTGTGGACAGGCACCACCTTTACTTCACAGACGAGGAGACCGAGGAGCAGCGCTTCCTCGTGTGGGGGGCTGCGCCGGAACAGGGCCGGTGCTGAGACGCCTGGGGTGGAGCCCTCTGACTCCTTCAAGTTCCTTCTCACTGTGCTGGTGGTCCCTCGGCACTTCTCTGTTCCAGGAGGTACTGTTTGTGGCCCTGCATTTTATCCTGTCCCTTAGGGGGCGCCATGTAAGCAGTAGCCTGAGCTCCCAGGTCTGGTGCCCTTTTTGGTGGCCCCGTGGTCCTTCCCAGGCCTGTTCCTCAGAGGTCATTTGCCTGGAGTAGGCCCGAGCCATGGGTTTAATCACTGCCCTTTATAGTTTGTCCTTGGGGGTGAAGTCCTTTACCGTGCGGAACACAGATTCTCTGTTAATACAAACGCAGATCAAACCCAGTATTTCAGGAGAAAGTGTTCCCTGGGTTTGGAAGAATTATAGAAAACAATACAAATCCTAACTACTTGGTTTAGAGAAACTGGCAAGTGGCATACTTAATATCGTTACGGTGACTGAGTTAATTATATAGTACAAAGATGTTTATAGATTACTAAAAAATTTTTACAGAGATGATAAAAATATATATAGTTCACCGGTTGATTTGGCACAGGTCTGAAATGGAAGGGAAACCATTCTTTTAAAATATGTGTATTTTAATCCTTACTCAAGGAAATTTGTTTTTCATTGCTTTCAGGAAGAGAGGGAGGGAAAGAAAGAGAAACATTGGTTGGTTGCCTCCCGAATGTGCCCAAACTGGGGAACAAGCCCATTACCTGGGTATGTGCCCTGACCGAGAATCAGACCTGCCACCTTTCTGTTACGGGATGATGCTCCAACCAACTGAGCCACACCAGCCAGGACAAAAGGAAACCATTTTTTAAAATTTATTTTGTGAGGTAAATAAATAAAGTTGGAAAACAGGTCAATTTCATGCATGCAAGGTTTTATAGTAGGAAAAAAATGCATTGCCCTGTCTGACCCTTTGCGTTGGAGGTGGTTTGTGTTCAGCCTTGACCACAAGTATCGGTTGCAGACAACTCGATAATTAATTTTTTTAGATAAAGCATAAGGATATTTTATTTGTTTTGATTTTAGGGCTGTGGTGAAGTAGTAGCTGAAATTACTAACCTATTGTACATAGCAGTTAATTAAAGAAAAGCATTAACTATAGGCGAACACCACCACTGTTGTTGTCTTGTATCAGTGTAAAAAGGCAGTAATTTTTTTGACAGCCACTGATTGGAAAGTTGCTCGCAGCCTTCCAGAAGCAAGGGAGTACATGCTGTGGATCAATAACCGGCAAATTTTCCATTAAAAAGAATACCTGAGCAATGTTCCAAATAGCCACTGGCATCTTAATTTTCCATGGAAACCCCAAACACTGGTGTGCCGGGAACAAGTCATTTTCGGACAATTTTTCCAGACTACTTGTTAACAGTTATTGCTGTCCCAAAAGGTTGACAGCCTGCATGATTGATATTTCATTTACTTGTCATCACTGTTTGAGTAATGGCGAGCGCTGTACTTCTGTGGTTTTAAGGAATAGAGTCTCCTGAAAGACATGCACCTTAGAATGTATTCCAGAGAATGTCCCGTGTGTTTATTCTGCATGTTTGTAAGTTTTTACGTACATAGAAGGAGAGGATCAGACCCCTTCACAGGCCAGAAGCCCTTGGAGAGCAGGGCGCACTCATGTCAGTCTGTGTCTGTTGAAAATTCATCTTCACTTTGTTTTCAGGGCCAAGAGCCTTAGCCATGGGAACTTAGGATTTCCAAGATGATGTAGCAATGATTCTCTTTATTATTAAGGGGAAAAAACTTGATCTTGTAATAATGTAAAGTACATAAGAGCAATAAGATATATGACAGTATCTTCTAAAAAGAAACTTAAGAGTGTCAGTAAATAACGGTCAAGGAAAATTTTCCTGAAAATGTACTAGTAGATATAACATCTACTGCTATATCTACTACTACGTCTGTGGGTTTTTAACATAAAAACAGCAAAGATTAAAGGGGAATCCTGCTCTGCAACAGCCCCTGAAACATGAAACCAGTGGTTTTTGTTGTTGATATTTTGCAACCAAGAGCCTCACTTCGTTGTTTGTCAAGTTTAAGGACATGAGGGCCCCGGGAGCGATCTCCAGGTTGGGCAGACACAGGCTCACTGATAAGCTTATCAGGAAAACTGGGAATTGGGCTAGAATACAACCTACTGAATGAATCTGTGTTTCTGAAGGAGTGTGAAAGCTTTTCCACTTGGGACTTTATTTTTTGTGTGCAGAATTTGAAAGTGAAGTTTGATCTGTACAAAAGTATTTATAAGATTAAAGCATAAAAGTAAGTTTGCTTGCAACTGTGCTGCCTTTTTATCTAACGGTCCTGTCATCTTTGCATGGATCATACCCTGTTCGCTTGTCCCACAGTCTCTGTGACCTAGATGTCCATTGTCTGTGAATTTTATACACAAATACCTATATGTGTAATGAACTGGCAGAGAAGTCCAAGCTAAGTGTGAGGCATCTTTAGTTTGCTTTGCAAAATTCAGGGAAAAAGAATAAGAGGCAATTTGAGAAATTTCTGCTAAAATGCTTTGTGTTTTTTTTAAAAATACTTATCATTTTCAAAATACTTCTACAGATCAAATACTAATCTAAAGTCCCAATCAACAGTTTCACTTTTAAAGATAAATGCCAGTGTAGAGGCTAACACGGCACAGGGCTTTCAGTGCTGACTATTCACAACTGTCATTTTAATGTGCAAACGGGGGACAGAGTGTTCTCGTGGCCGATTTATGTGTACCAGCAATTTTCAGAAGTACTGTGAGTTAAACAACCCATGAGTGCCCATGCCAGTGTTCACACATTACTGAGTAATCTCTTTCTGTAATCTCTTTGCAGTATTATTCCACAGTAATGGAACAGCAAGTAAATGGACAGTTAATAGAGCCTCTGCAGATATTTCCAAGAGGTAATGTTGAACACATTCTAATCAACAATGATTATTTCAGTAAACTGTTTCATCAACAGTTATGTTTTCCAAAGGTTTAAATGCACATAACATGATGTTTAGCTCTTAGGAAAAAAAAAAAAAAAAAGCATTCATTGTCATGGGGATTGCAGGCTATATTATAGTTATGGCAGATAAAATATCTAATTTACTAGGGTAAATTAAACTAACTAGATTGTTTTTTGTTTTTGAAGTACATACTTACGTTCGCTTAGAGAACTCTTTGGGGGTCCACATGGTTTCTAAACCAAGGCAAATGGAGTGACCTCAGTTTGGGGTGTTGGTAAATTGTGGCTTGTGACAGCAGCTGAAGCTGCTGTTGTGGAGAAGCCCTCAGCCATGCCAGAAGCTGAGGTTTACCACAGAGCCTTAGGAGGGAATTTCTGATAGAAGGTTTGGTGCTTGGTTTTGGGGGGTGGCATTTTCTAAAGAAGGGAAAGTCCTCATAAATGGGGATTTAATTGTTAAGTCTTCAAAAATACAGGGTGATTAAGGTAAGTCTTGGTGCATCACCTGGTTGAATACTGTGTTCTTTCCCTTTTAGGCTTGTCACTACTGGCCTTATATTAGATACGAGTGTGCCCCTGTGTATAAACATTCCCGCAAAATCTGAATAATGGAGAAAAAGAACCACTTCAGTACATAAACTGCTAAGTCTTTACCCATTATACATTGTCCCACTTGGAATCCCCACTTTCTAACTGATGGAACAGATAAGGAAATTCTCTAAGTAACTCTTCTAGAAATAACTTAACTGAAGTAGTTAGAGGTTAAACTTAGTTTTGTTAACTGATACTGTACAAATAATCATGGTATGAGTTTTCCAATGAAACATTCTAGACTTTCATTACTAGTAACACTGAAGGTTGAATGGCTCATTAACTAGGAGGCTCTTATTTGCACTGATGAAGTCTCCAAAGGCAGCTGACTCTGCTAGCCCACAAGCTCTGGGTTCAAGAGCAGCGCCACTCTTCCAGTGTTAATGCAGGAGTGGGGATGGGGGTACTTAGTAAATTGTTAATAATAACTTAATAAAGAGCTAAGTAGATAAAATTGGGCCATTGATGCTGTATCTGGAACAAGGATTATGATTAATCCAATTCTCTTGCACCTGAGGACTAAAAACTAAAACAGAAAAAAAAAGAAACAGAAACATTGCAACATTTGTATATTAGGCCAATAACAAGGATGCAGATTATTTTGTGATATTTTTAGTGACTGGAGATTTTGGTCAAGTTTCAAAATTGTTTTTCCACGAGGAATATTTTTTTTACCTGCTGAAAAATTTCTATTCATTGCTTCCCTCCTGGATGGCATTATATTGTTGCTCCGCTATTACAGTATCTTGGGTAATTATAGGCCCAGTGCTGTGGGCCTTTTTTTTCCAATAAAATATTTACCTGTATATCTAAAATATTCTCAAGATTTTTTTGGTGGGGGCAGTCCCTGTCAGTGGTACAACCTGTCTCAGTGTCACTGCCTACACCATTGTCCCCCCTCCTATGGTGATAACCGTTTTTAGACATCTGCTCTGCTCAGGTACTAATACTGCTTTAAGTTCCATTATTTCTAATTTTCCTGACAGTTTTGCCTATTAGGTCTTACTGCTTTCATTGTTTATGTGAGAATATTGAAGTTCAGGGAGGTTAAGTAATTTCAGAATCACACAACTGATAAGTGGTTAATGTTCCCTTAGAGTAAGAATCTTGTTTAAAATATAATTTGCCGAAAGTAGAAGGACATATAAGTTAAGATATTGGTGATATGTGGGGCCGTTTGAGGGGTTCGTAGGAGTGTGGAGAAGAGTGAGAGGATCCCCCAAAGAAGAAAACGAGTGGGACGTGTCACACGTGTTCCTGGCCCAGGGCCTGCCAGGCCCCAGTGAGTTACTAAGTGAACTTCTTCCAAGCCAAGTTTACATTTTTAAAACTAGGGGACTCAGTCACTCTTCCCCTATGGTTTTTGTTTGTTTGTTTTTTTGTACATGCTATTGTACAACTTTATTATTTTTTTGTATTCTTTTGCTTGCTTAATTACATCAAATCTAGATAAGTGAGATTATGCAAACTTGTACAGTTAGGATATAGACATATGGGTGTATTCACAGGGTCTACATAGTTGGTTAGAGGCCTCAGGCCACCTTCTGTGGTCAGGCCCCATGTTAAAGAGAATCTGTACACAGAATAAGTGAGAGAGACAAGAGGTAAAGTTTCTGTTCTAACATCAAATGTTCTCCTCATTCCAAGTAGGACAGTTGCTTTGGATGGTAACTCCCAGCTCATAGCTGAGTCCTTTCTGTTGTTAAAAAATATGTTAAATGTTAGTAAGTATGAACATTCACTAGCTTTATAATAACTTCCAACTTATAACTATAGGCAATATGAGGTACTAGGTTTTTGAACACTGTTTAGATGTTCAGTTATAAAGGTTTAAGAAGCCAATTGAAAAAAAAGGCAGAAGTTAAGGTAAGCGATGAGTTGATTTAATCTTTATTGTGTTTTTTCCTCATTACCATTTAGCCCACTTATACCCCCCACTCCTCAGCAACCACCACACTCTTGGGGAAAAAACAAAAGATTTGAGGCCGGTCTCTAATTCCTTAGTTAGCCCCTTTCTTATTAAAGGAAGCGTTTTTGAAAGCACTGGGTACTTCAGTGAAAACACTCTGAAATGTAGTCTTAGGAATGGTCCCCGAAGGACTGAGCATCAGATGTATGTGACTGTTGTTTTGTTCAAAAATTTAATTTCCATTTTAAGTAAAGAAGATTTGGAGTCGTGATTTTAATGTATTTTAGGAAAACAAATAAAAATTCTTTATTAAGGTTTAGATATATTTTCTAGGAAGATAATAAATTTGAATACACACAAAATATGCAAAATCAAAGCTACTGATAGGCTTTGTAATTATTACTCACATGTTATTAAATGGCTGTATTTCTTGTCAGAAACAGGAAATATACATGTATATCTGAGAAAGGAGGGAAAAAATCAAATTCATCCTTCCCCAAACAATCTATCAAAATTGACAGCCCCTTAACATATAATATGTAGGGCGCTGTCGTTTTCAGATGGAAGCAGCCTGTAACATGGGCAGAGAGCTTTTGTGTTTTTAACATTTGATGAAGAAGCATTTGGTGAATTGGAAGAATACTAACATCTAACTCAGTATGGTGTCAGGAAATTAATATTATTTTTCTTGGCACTGCTTTATCTTTAGACTTAAATATTACCAGATGTCAGGATTTGCAAGAAATGTTGTAGAATTAGTGATATCTCTGTATTGTAGTAAATTTGCTTATTTCTGTGCAAACTAATACTATTCAGACTTGAATATTCCATCTTAGAATCTCTCACAATCATTTTGGCATTAAAAGACCTGCTCCCACTCCTCTGCTCTTCCCCCCAAACCTAGCAACTTTCAAAGTAGTTTAAGTGATAGCAGATATACAGTGTAATAGAGTGAGGAAAGGTTGCAGAAATTTGAATTATGAAAGGAATTTAATCATTTTAGCTCAGTTAACTTGATTTTTATATGTTTTAAGCAGAAATTGGAATTTATATGAGGTAGTGTCAAAAAGCTCTTTGCATTTATAAATGCTCACTCCTGCAAGTTAAAAACCCTGGTTCATAATTCCCACTTTGGGTCTTGGGAGCCACTTTTCAATCATTTCTCTCTGCTAATTTTGGTGTCACCCTCATTTCTTTTTAAACGATTCATTTTGAGCAAATTTGTAAATGGCCCTGATGTGTTCTACAATTTAGTCAATTACTGTTTCAGCCTGCAAGCCTCCTGGGGAACGGAACATACATGGCCTGAAGGTACGAATTTCAATAATTGTTTCAGTAAAGTTAGATGGATTTGTAATGCTGTGTTCCACTTATTGAAATGTCAAATAAAACTGCACTTTCTCAAGCTCTGACAAGCGATCTCTTTTTTTTTTTCTTTTTCTTTTTTTTAAATGGAAGGTGGAGGGGGATTTTTCTGTAGTAGGTGCTTAATATGTGTATATGTTTGGATACAGGGGTTTTGTTGTCACGTATTTTATTATTTGGAATTGTTTTGTTGGTCTGTTTCTTCAGCTTGATCCTGGGTACTGGTCTCCACAAAGATTTACTTAAATGAAAATATAGACTTATTTTCAGTGATTGATTAAGCACATAAGCATAGTGCATACAGACTACCCACCTCTCTCTTCTTTTGACATATTTACACTAAAAACGTATATCTATTTGATGTCTTTTAATTGTTCTGTGTATTTTGAATTCTGGATTTCTGTTTAAGGCTTTACATTTGAAAGAAAAGCTGGCTTTTAGATTCAAACATTTTATAATTAATTACTTGGATTCATTTTTTAGTGAACATGGAACATTCTACAGTGTTCTGCTTGGTTTTAGAGCTGGACAGATGTGACATCTTGAGGTTCAGTACAAACCCCTGGGTGTATTTTAATATGCTTTTTTTGAACATATGAGGATTGTTTTTTTGCATGTGAAACAAAACACTACATGGAATCTTTCTCTAGAATTGAACTCAATTCTAGATAGTGAATTGGAAATTTTCCCTATTTATCTCTCCTTTTCTCCAGCACTGTTGATTTGAGTAATGACAGTAATGGAATATTACATAATGCACAGGTTGTATAGTTCTGTAACCTATATACTAAATAGACTCGAACCATGGGTCTGTCTGGCAACAAGCTAATTAACCTTCATAGCGAAATGAGAAATTTGTGGCAAATTATAGGTTAATTAGAACTGTATCCTCAGAACACAAAACCGATCAAGAGTCTTTCTTTACTTGCAGGTGAATACCCGGGCTGGACCCTCTCAACACAGCAGCCCAGCAGTCTCAGATGCACTTCCAAGCAACAGGTAAGGACAGGTGAATGACATGTGCGCGTATGCATGGTTATCTGCAAAGTTGGGGAGTGGGGTGGGGATGTCACCTCTTCTCTTAAAGACCAAAAAATGTATATGTGGCTAAGAAGAAATTTGAGCAGTTGGGTAACCCTAGCTACATATTGACTGAAAAGAGAAAACCTACCTCCTAGGTTTTGAACCTACCTCAGAGAAAGATGAAATTCAGTGTGTGAAACTGTTATTTTTGGTCTATGGAGTGATTTTCCTTCAGTTACCAAGTTATACAGGAAATTCAGTGATTTGGTTATTTTATGCCTTGATGGTCTGGTTTATTAATTGTTTAATGCCCTTTTTTAAAAACTTTGGTTGTTCATCTTTTAGCAGTATCTTAACCAGAAAGAGGCAAGGAAAGAGTGAAGTGGTAAAATTTAAATTGATCAGCTGTGTTGCTCATTTTTATATCTTTGGTTGCATAGGAGATTGAAGCTATTTTGGAATGAAAACAATTTTCATTAATTCATACTAACATTGCCCCACACTGTGATGGATACTACTAGAGACTTGAGCCTTTTAAAATGTGGTTTCTTTGACAGGCTTGAGAACTTCCAGATTCTCATGGTGCTCAAGTAGAAGGAGCGGCCTGCTTCCGTTGTTAGCATTCTAGGTCGTCTCTGTTGCACATTCAGTCATTCAGCTTGTGAACGTGTTCTAGACCCCACAGTAGAGGAAATAATGCAGCAAAGCAAGGCACAAATTTTGGGGTTCCCCAGTGCATATAAAAGTTGTGTTTATACTATACTGTGGTCTATTAAATGTGCAGTATTATGTCTAAAAAGTACAGACCTTAATTTAAAAATACTTTATTGTTACAAAATGTTAACCGTCATCTGAGCCTTGAGCAAGTCCCAATCTTATCTGGTGGAAGTCTTGTCTGGTGGAGGGTCTGGCCTCGATGCTGATGTCAGATGACTTCGTTCAAAATTGGAGTCAGTTCTCCCAGACTTTGCCAGCTATTTTGTCAACTAAGATCCTAGAATGTTCTCAATCTTTGTTGTCTCTTCACATCATTTTTACCAGGAGGAGATCCCATCTCAGGAAACCACTTCGTTTTCATACATAAGAAGCAACTCCTCATTCATTAAAGTTTTGGCATGAGATTGCAGCAGTTCACTCACATATTCAGGCTCCACTTTCAATTCTAGTTCTTTTGCTCTTTCCACCACATTTGCGGTTACTTCCTCCACAGAAGTCTTGAACCCCTAAAAGTCACCCATGAGGGTTGGATTCAACTTCTTCTAAGTTCTTATTAATGTTAATATTTTGACCTCTTCCTGGGAATCGTGAATGTTCTTAATGGCGTCTAGAATGGTGAATTACTTCCAGAAGGTTTTCAATTTACTTTGCCCATATCCATCAGAGGAATCACTATCTATGGCAGCTATAGCCTTACAAAATGTATTTTTTAAATAAGAGTTGAAGGTCAAAATTACTTTGATCTTTGGGCTGCAGAATGGGTGTTGTGTTCCCAGGCATGAAAGCAACATTAATTTCATGTATGTCTTTATCAGAGCTCTTGGGTGATGAGGCACATTGTTGGTGAGTGGTAATATTGAGAAAGACTCTTTTTTTGCATAGTAGATCTCAACAGTGGTTTAAAAATATTCAGTAAACCATGTTGTAAACAGACGTGCAGTCATCCAAGCTTCGAGGTCCCATTTATAGAGCATAGGTAGAGCAGATTTAGCCTAATTCTTGAGGGCCTGAGGAACTTAAATTCACCAGCTACATTAGCACCTAACAAGAGAGTCTGCCTATCCTTTGAAGCTTTGAAGCTTTGAAGCTTTCAGGCTTTCATTGACTTCTCCTCTCTCGCCATCTCTTGAACACTTAGAGGCAACTGTAGGGTTATTCATTGGGTCTAATTTCAATATTGTTCCGTGTCAGAGAATAGGGAGGCCAGAGGAGGGAGGGAGAGACAGACACACAGACACACAGACACACAGACACACAGACACGGGAAGGCCAGTCAGTGGAACAGCGAGAACACACACATTTATTAAGTTTGCCGTTTTATGTGGGTGTGGTTCTTGACTCTCCCAAACAATTACAGTACACTTATAATCAAAGATCACTTATTACAGATCACCATAACAAATACACCAGTAATTACAAACTTTGAAATATTGCAAGAATTACCAAAATATGACACAAACACAAAGTAAGCAAATGCTGTTAGAACAATGGCACCAATAGACTTGATCAATGCAGGGTTGTTGCACACTTCCCATTTGTAAGAAACACAGTATCTTCAAAGTAAAATACAGCACAATAAAATGAGGTACACCTGTGCTTGAAGATTACCCTGTGAAGGTGATTGCTCTGTGTGTATGTGTGTATTCACATTGGTGACTGACAGGCCAACATCAGACCACAAAAGCCTTCCATTCTTTGCTCAGGTTTTCCTGGGTTTGGGGCTGTAGCCAGTATTTGCACAGCCCGTCATCAGCTGAGATGCCATTTAGGCTTCTGCTTGTCCTTCTGTACCTCTCCTTTCCCTCTTAATCCTGAGTCTTGGTTTTGGTTTTTGTGTTTTTGTCAGGGATCTTCACTGTATGTGTAATTTAAAGTCTCTCCTTCTGACTCTATCTTTCCACTCCTGTCCCCTTCCCCAAAGTCACTTCCTTGATCGCTTTATTATGGTGTCGGTGTATCTACGCACCAGCTTTCCTGCTATGAACACACTATTCTTAAAGTGTGTTTCTGTCTTAAGCAATTCATTCTGTCTTAAAATACAGCCTGGTTGGTCACCAGTGGACCATCTATCTTGTGGTCATGGGGGTAGGTCTTTTAGTTCTCATCCAGGGACTTGGCCCTGTGGCTTCTCTCTTCCTGCTTGCTGAGCATGTGAGCCACGGCCCAGCAGAGTGAAGACATGGGGACTGAAGGTCACTCATCTCACTCAACTCAAAGAGGACGGGACATTTAATTACAACCACTGCTTCCAGAAAAGATGTTGTTCACACAGGCTGATCATGACTTCACACAGGTTCACACAGGACTTAACCTGGTGTTTGAGGTCAAATCTTATCATGGCATAAAAAGAGGATAGAGTTAAAAAGAATTTTAAGGTAGCGAAGGAATAGGATAACTTTTCAGTTCTCTAAGATTTGGTTTTAAAAACATGAGTGAACTGGCTTGGCTTTTTAAAAAGTGCTGTTTATAGTCACAGAGTTTTATGGAGTCTTCGGGTTGGACAAAGGCTGTCTGATCTAGTGGTTCTCGGCCTTTTGTTGCAGCATCTTCCCAAAGGGCATGACAGCCTCCCTAATAGCAGCAGTAGTTTGCCCCAGTAGTGATTTCTGTTATGGGAGGAATGCAATTTGAAAAAGCCTTCCAGGTGACTTCAATAAGCCACCCTGGGTTGGCCATGTTCTGTGCCCCATGTTGATAGCTAATCAAAAGTATTTGAGTGCCTTCTTCTTCATTAGGTGCTTTCCTACACACTAGGAATACAGTGTGGTCCTTGTCCTTTGGAGCTTGCTACCTTATAGGCACCCAGACAAAAAAATCCAAATATTCAAATAATTATACTTTATAATTAGTTATAAAGGAAACAGGCAAGTTTTGAAGGGAGAGCACACTAGGTGGGAATATGTTTAGATTTAGACTGGGTGCTTGGGGGACTTTCTGGGGAAGAATGATCTTTCCCAGAAGGAGGAGGACCAAGCTGCGTCAAGAGCCAGAAAAGGGCCTTTCAGAGGGAGGGGAGAGCATACGTGAACACCCTGGGGTGGAGAAGGAGCTCAGCATGTTTGTAAGTAGGCCAGTTTGGCTGGTGCACAGGGAGGAGTGCTGAGCTGGGGGAAGGTATGGAGAGAGGGGAGGAAAGCAATAGGAGTGATGGGAGAAAAGGAGGTAGGCAAGAGCCATACCGTGCAGGGCCTTGTGTTTGAATTTTCCTCAGTGTATTGGCAGACCATTAGACAACTTTCAGCAGGAGAGTGCCATTGCCAACTCTGTGTCCATCGGAGACTCCTTGCCTGTGATATGGAGGATGAGAATGAGAAGCCCAGTCTATTCCTGCTCTCCTTAGATGCTTGACTTACTCCTGGCCGGGCGGTCATCTGGGCTCTTCTGAACAGCTCTGTGGCAGGAATGCACTCTATTGGCTGAGGCAGCCCCTTCTGTTTTCATGTACTAAATCTTAGAACATACTTATTTGTGAGCTGAGATTTGTCTCCCTTTACTACCTATTCATAAAGATTTGGTTCAGCCCTCAGAACAGGGCTGTTCTCTCTTCTGGGCGATAACTCTTCCAATTGTCTTCCCTCTAAACATACTTCTCCTAGATTTCCTCTCTCAGTACATGATCCCGTATCTACTCAGTTGCTTACTCCAGATGACCTGCCAATATCCTGCACTGCCTCCTGGGGTTCCCCGGCCCCACATCCAGTCAATTCCCGTACTTGCAGGTTTTACTGCCTGAGTCACTCCGGAGTCTGTCTGTTTGCCAGCACCCCAGTTGCTGCAAAGGTCGTTTGGGCTCTGGATCACTGCTACAGCCTCCTAATCATTTCCTCCCTCCAGTCTTGCCCTACTGAAGTCCCTCCTTCACACTGCAGTCAGAACTGTCTTGCTAATGTGAGTTCTAAGCCCATCATTTCTGTGTTCACTGATTCTCACAATCTTCAGGGTGAAGCGTACCCTCTACAACTGGTGAGCACTGGCCCGTCATATGTTGGTGCTCAGCCCATTCCAGCCCCCCAGCCTGCTCCTCCTTAACTGACATTCCAGGTCTGCTGATAAAGAGAGGTGCCCTTGATGGATCACACTTCTTTTCTCTCCCTGTTGGATTTTCGCATCTGCTGCTGCCTCTTTCCTGCTTTGCTCATCTTTGAACCCCCTCTTCCGCCTTCAGTCTGGCTAACCTTGGTCATCTTTGAGGAACAAAGCTGTTACCTTCTTCTAAAAACCATCCCTGATTATTACACACTTCCCAGTTTACACCAAGTACCCCTTCTGTGAATTCCCATACCCCACCTTTGCTTGCCTTACTGTAGCAGTTAACACATTGTATTATAACCACCTCCGTCCCCAGTAGATTCTGTGCTCTTTGAGGGCAGTGACTGTAACACAGTCATTGTTGAATTCCCAATTCCTGGAATGATGCTTGGGACATAGGAGATAATAATGAATGAGTGAGTGAGTGAATGAATGAATGAATGAACGAACGAACTAGCTAACTACTAATTAACTTAGATGCCCCTTAAGCCTATCTCTGGATTAAATTCTTCGAACTCATTCAGCTTTTCCGATATGACATTATTTCTAGGCCTCTCATCCTGTTACTTGTCTTTGGCTGTCTCAGTGTCCCTCTTAAAGTGTCATAACCAGGTTATAATTGTATCACATTTAAATTTTAAAAAGATTTTAAAAGTCACTGTGACCAAATGAACAAAATGTCAAGTCAACCAGGATGCTAGAATACATAGAAATACTTTTTTTTTTTTAACCTAAGTTGGTAGCATAAAGAGTGGAATCAGCTTTTTCCTCTGTTACCTTGGAGCATGAATTGCCATAGGTACATGACTGCTATTAAACCGCTTACTAATCCACCTGGTGTTTCTAGGCCATAATTACGGAATTCAAGTCCCACTGCCAAGGCAAGGCCTTTCCCAAACGTCTTGATTTTCTCTTCCTATAAAATTAGGATGATTAGACTTAATGTATATCTACCTCTGGTGTTAGAAGATTGATGAAGTTGTATCAAAGAATCACATTTTGTTTCTTGGATGAAAAGTATTTTATAAATTCAGTGACTCAAAATGTTATTATTTCAAGCCATATGATAAGATGGAATATGTAGAGAAACATTGCCCAGGCATTGTTTGGTTACTTCTGGTTTTGCAGTAATTGCAACTGTTACATTGGGAGTTATCTGTGGAAACAGAGGGATCTAAACGTTTCTCGGGAAGAAAAGTGTGTATTCGTGAGAGGTAGGCTGACTTTGAGCAAGGTCTGTACCTTAGTGGGTTTTGTTTTGTCTTGTTTTGTAAGTTAAGAGTAATTATATCCCACAGGCCAGTTTCTCCAAACTCCTGCACAGATGTGTAGTTATTGTAAGGATTAAATCAGGATAGTAAGTAATAGCATTGAGCACCATGCCCGGCACATGGTCATCACCCAGTAAAAGGAACTGCCATTATTTTTTTTAAGTGCACTGATTTAAGACAGCTGTTTATTTTTTGGTATATGTTTCAGCTTTAGTTCCACTCTACAAAGTTCTTAACTGCCACTTAGGTACATCCATTCTTTGACTTGGAAGGACATTATTAAAGTCAAGAACTGTTGGTTGAGGCCATGTTTTGTAACAGTTGGGGAAAGTAGAAGCTAAGGCTTCACAGTCTGCGTTTGCCCACAGCAGAAGTTGAAGAAATGTTTAGGAAGAAGAACCATTACAACTTTGAATAGTGAGTGTGGCCAAACTTGAAGTCTGAGATTTTCTCAAATATAACTTATTGGAAGTGCCGAGTCAGTGTGTGTGTGTGTGTGTGTGTGTGTGTGTGTGTATGTGTGTGTGTGTGTGTGTGACCAACATATGGTAACAACCAGAACAGTGATCACCCTTATTGGACACTTAGCACATGCCAGGTTGCTGGGCTGGGCTCAAGGGTGGGAATGAGTGGAATGTGTAGACAAGTAAGTTGTGGTCTGTGTCCTCAAGGAGCTTTCAGTCTTGGGGGAGGTGTGGTGGGATGAGAGACCTCTATCCGTACCAAGGAGGAACACAGGGAGGAAAGTTGCTTCTGAAGCTGAGGTTCAGAGAGAATAAATAAGTAATCTGTCCCAGAGCACACAGCTGTTGAGTACCAGGAGTTATTTCTACCACACATTTGCTTCCCAGGAATTGAACTGTAACTCTAACTGTAGTAAAAGATCAGCATTTAAACCATTTTGTCTTTTAAAGTTCTGTAATCTTCATTTGTTGTGAACATTCTAAGAGTGCATTGTTAAAATACTTTGGACTTGACAGATGACGAGTTCACATCAAACAGCCACTGAAAGGCTACCCAAAGGCAGCAGAATGGACAGCCAAACGCAGTCACTGAAGTAGCCCACGGTACTCTGGCTTCCTTTTGATTGTAGGCATCTTCATTACTTTAAATTACTAACGGGGTTTCAGTCTCTTTATTAATAGCTTTGCCATTTGGCCAGTTACTTTTGAAAAAATACTGTACACGAAGGATGTAAAGAATGTAGTCCCGTATATATGTTTTATTCTGGAACTTTCAGTGTTCAGAGGTGTCAATCTTACCCTTAAAAATTATGTCTTCTCTTTATAGCTTAAAGAAGTCTTCTGCTGAACTGAAAAAAATATTAGCCAACGGCCAGGTAGGTGTCATTACAGATTAATATTTTCAGATAGTAGTAACTTATTACTGTTCAGTTTTTCTATCCATAAACTGAACAGATAGAGTCTGTGAATTCCTTCTTGTCATAAATGAATTACATGGCTTAATTTGATTGGCAGAACAATTTGCAGCACGTTTTTCAAACTGTGCTAATGGGTTTCACTCCCGGCAGATTGAAGTACCACGCACACACCCTGCTGCCTTCTCAGTTCAAAAAAAGTTAATCAGTTCTGAACAAGTGTGTCAGCCCCACGGGTTGTCAGAATGGCCCTGTGTCCTGAGGTGACTATTTCTTTCATTATCTTTGGGGAGAAAAAGTAAACCAAACTGTTACTTTCTCACCCTAGCACAGTTCTTTTGTCCTGAGACTAGCACTGGCTTTTCAGAGAAATAGAATAACAAGAGACCGTTGGCATTTAAAATTCCTAGGCTTTTGGAGCCCTGCTCTGCCTATTGACAGGCCACCTTCAAGCTGCACGACCTAACCCACCCAGCGAGGAACAAACAGGCCTGCGGGCCACTTATTCCTCACTAATTTTGGTTCAAGTAAATGGACACATCTGAAATAGTGTACTGCTTTTAAACATACACTGGTAAATTAAGCTACCTACAGGGTCCTCGATTCTTCAGTAGCAACATAAATGTGTTTTAATGTTTGTTACAGAGGAAGCCCTTTGATAGCCTTGGAGGCAGGCGCCTGTCCGCTGCGATTAAGTCCGCCTATTAGGCTCTATTGACTGAGACATCTGTGTCACTGCAAATAAAAGACTCTTATTGATTTTCTTAACTGCTGTTCACTTCCCGTCCATGTTTCGAAGGCTGAAATCTTAATTATCTCAGATGCTTATTCAGTGCCTTCACACGCTGACCTCTCCAAGCCTCATTGGCATTTCATGAATCAAGGACTTGTAGTGGAGCATGTCAAGAAGACAAAGCTGGGTCCTCACGCTTGTCCTTTAATATCACCTGTAACTTTGTGGCCTAATAGATTTGTGTGCCTTAAAACGGTGACTGTATAGTGGTGCTTCTGGAAGCCTTCCTTATTTAGCACACAGTCCCTTGAATATAGTCAGAAAAAGCAAGTTGATGCGGTTTTGATATCCAGTCATCATCCAGAGTGTGGATTCTCGTTCCTCCACGTTGTATGTGCAGCTGAGGGGAATCTGGCCTTACCTGTGTAATCTGTACAGTCTCAGAATTTTAGATCATATTCATCTAGTATTTTTAACTTTAGGCAAAGGTTTGTTTGGATTGAGGTCCCCACACGTGTCCTTCTGGTACTCTGTGTTCAGAACCAGTATGAAACAAAACCGGACCAGAAGCAGAAATACTGAGCCTAGGATATTTATGTTTCTTCAATATCTTGTTACTAATTATAATTTATGCATGAGTCATTTGTGTTCTTCAGCTGGAAAATACATTTCAAAGTTGACATAAATTAAGAAGCTTTAACTACATTTGTTCAACTCAGGCAATGGAAAATAACCTGTCACAGATTCCCCTTTCAAAAATGAAAGTTATTTCTACTGCAAAAATAAACATTCAGAAACCTTTCTAGTGTTTTGACACCAAACCGACTACCATAAATATCTTAATGTTCTCCGTTTTGAGGTTTTCTTCAGTGGAGGATGTCATGGCGGTGATTTCTGACACTTGAAGATTGTTTATTACATTCCCTTGGGAATGTGATAACCCCACATTAAATAGGATGCCATTTCTTTCTCTTAAGGATTAGCCTTTTCTATTTTCTTTCATTTACAAAAGCAAACAAAACACCACCCTACCACCACTATTGGAAAGCTTCAAAAATGCTTTTTTCTTCCCCTAATTCCTGAGTTTGCTGGTGCTACAGGGTAACTAAAGAGTGAGCAAGACTGCACTGCAGCGTGGTAATGTGCACAGTTGTGGGTGTCCATAAATTCCTGGGCTGAACACGAACGTCCCTTGATATGGAAGATGTAAGTCACATTTAACGATACTTTAACACTTGAGTGTAGTTTTTTATTTTAGTGGTTTATGCTCTCAAGCATTAATAATGATTTGCCTTTCCACTAGCCTCCACTTAGATTTAATAAGGAATTCATATTAATCATTAAAAGAAAGGGACATGATTCTTCAAGATAATCAAATATTGACAGGTTAGAAATAGCTTTCAGCCTGGGTTCATTGATATAGGTTATGTGATATAAATATTTATTTCTTTTCTGTCACTCAGAGTAAATGCCACCAATTGATTCCGCATTGATATAGTGTCAACAGTTCATAAGAAGCATTTGACTGGCTCGTGTTTTCCCATTAGTCTCTGCTCTCTAAAGTGGGATTTACTAAATCTCTCCAGTTGTCTGCTCAGAGAGTGCTACTGCTTTTTGAACCCAGTATTGCTTCGATTTGTGAAGCGAAGGTCTAGGGATAGGACTAGTTTCTATCAGACCTTTACATATAAAATAAGGATTAATTGAGCATTTTTATTTTAATGATTTATCAGCGATAGGTACTGATTCTTCTTAACACAGGCAGACAATAAACAAAGAATATTTTCTTTGCTGATCCATAATTGAATTTCATTTTCCCCATTAATTTCATTAATATTATATTAAATCAAGCACTTTTTTTTAAAGTTTAACATTTAGTCTTTGGAATAGAGACACCATTTTTCTGTTATTGCTTAAACAGAGGATTCCTTTTTTTTCCAGCTCTAAAAAATCATAAGTATTTTTGGCATGTTTTACTTAGGACTATAAATCAGTACCAATTATGTGTTTTCTGGATGTGTTTTTCCCATTTCAGTTTAACATTGGCCCTTGATTTGAAACTGATTAAAAGTGGCTTAGTGGGTCAATTTAAAGGTTTTAAAAAGTGCACAGTTATTCTAAGTATGTGCAACTTTGACCTTTGCATTTCTAAAGTTGTTTTTCCTCATTTTATGTTTTAGATCTTGTAGATTTTGTGACAGTTTTTTTTAATTCCTCATAAATTAAGTGTAAATGTACTGAGAAATCACAGATCTAGAACTAATTCTGATCTTTCTGCATTTTTTACATGTATTTTGAGAACTTCAAGTGCCTTTGGAAAAGTTTTTGCATTTCAGAAAAAAAAAGAGGGAGAAAAATAGGTATTGTACTGTAAAATTAGCTTTAAAACTAATTCTTACAAGCATATAAAGCTCTTAGATTCTTACAGCTCACCTTAGATTCCATATGAAAACCGAAACATAAATGAGATTGTGTATGTAAGTCCAAGCTGCATGACTCCTCTCCCCACACAACCGTAACTTTTCCGCCCTGGTTTTCACGTTGGCGTTTCTTCCATGGTGCCTGCCTGTCTGGCAGCAGGGGCGGGGCCCGGTGCCGGCCATTTCTGCCAGGTCGTTTGCCTCCTTGGCAGTTGACATGCAGTCATAACTCTCATGGCTTTTTCTTCCTCCATCTACCCTCACGTCTGTCTGTTAGTTTGTCTTTTATTTGCTTTTTAAAATTTTTATTTAAAATTGATTTTGGTGTATTTATTGAATAAGAATTTTATTTTACCTCTTTTCTATGTAAAGAGCTGTATGATTTTTAAAAGTTTTCTTCTTAGACACAAATGCCACATCTAACAAAATCGCCTTTACCTGGCGAGTGCCCTCCAGCTGATGGCTTTTCCTCCTGTGGACCAGGGACCGTGGGTGGGGGGCTGCCCCTCTATCCCTACACGTGAGACCAACTGCTGAGGTGCAGCCTCCAGAGGAGCATGTGCAAGACTGAGTTCGGATTGAGTTCGAGCCCTGACTGGTTGTATAACCTGTGTGAATGAGGCTCCGTACTTACATTGTAAATGCTGTGCTTTTTATGGGACCTGGTCCTATCGCATTTAAATGTACTCTGTGGGTTTTAAAAACACCACTTTGCATGATCATAATGAGCACTCTTCCTGTGCTTCATTTTGAAAAGTTGGATTAATGTGCTTATCTAAACTAAAAAGGCAAAAATGCTATTAGCTATTTGTTGATTCCTTTAATGATTTTTCATAGTTGAAATCAATTAAAGTAATACATTCTGATCAGAGCTATGGAATTCTGAAAATTTTGTGTGTAATCAATTCATGAGGTTGGCTCTAATAGCTTTCCTTTTTGAAACTTTTTTTTTACATCAATAATATTTATATACCATATAAAATTAGAAAAATTCAAATGAGTAAAAAGAAAAAGAATCTGATATTTCAAAATATAAAAATCTATCAGTGAATTCATAGGTCAGGCAAAGGTCTATAGAACTTTAATAAAACATCGTATGAACACTTTACCCATTTTATTATGGATACTGTTTTTTTTAAGTGACATCGTTCCAGAACTTGTTCAAAACCATTTTTGTCTTGATGCGACATTTACAGTCTTCCTCATTATCTGAAGCATTCCAAATTCCTATCCTTGAATTTATCTACATAGTACTTAGCACACACCCACCCACACAACATACATTTCCGGTCTCTGACCATTCGGGATGCCCACCACTCCTGCTTAGGCTGTAGTACTGGGGATGGTGCGGGTGGGAGGGGGGGCTTCCCTTCTCTTTCCTACCTGATAGGTAGTAGAGGTAAAAATACTCTGATGTCAGGATTATAATGGTTGAAGCTGCTCAGAGACATGCCCTGCTTACTCCTTTGCCTTCTTTTCCTCCAACAAAAGGCCACAAAATCAGACACCCTCCAAAGTCCTAGGTCTCTCCCAGTGTATCATTGAAAATGTGTAATATCAATGTGTCTTGTTGTGTATATTTTTCTGAGAGGAAACTACTGGTCCTTTTACCCAGAAGGCCCTGATGGAGTAATGGAGGTGGAGGGGACATGACCATACTCCACGGCTGCAGCCTGTTTACCCTTAAATCTCAGTGCTGCTAATTCAGAATTTGTAGACTCGAGTGAAATATCTCTCTCCTAGAAATTTACTTCAAACTGTGATGATGGTGCAGCTTGTTAGGCAAGTTAATGGTACAACTTCGGTTGTTAGAGTCATGCTTAGAATACTTAGAGAAATATTTTAAAGGAATTAGCCTATTTCCATCCACCAGTAGATATGGATATTTACATACATCTCCTTCATCCCTCACAGTCAACCCAACAGCAGCTCTGCTGGTTTAGCATCTCCAGTTGCTTTATGTGCTCATTTTTCCTTTAATGCTGTCTTAAAATCTGTCCTTTGGTCCAGAATAATGTTCTCTTTTCTTCATACTACATCTTTTACACAGGTTTAAATACTTTAAACAAAATATTAGTAATAGGAAGGTAGTGAAGAACAGAACTTGTGTGAAATGGGGAAATAGTTGCCAGTTTTTCTGACTTGCCTATCATTTCTCCACTGACCCAAAATATGGCAATTAGCTAATAGCAAATTGCATCAATTAGATTGTACTACAATTAAAATGGGTGCAGAACTTGCCTTCACACATTATATCTGCCAGTATTCTTTTAGGGATTTGGCAAAATGGCGTGGAAGGGAAGCTGGTTCTGTTACCTGCACTGTACTTCTAATTACCACAGTTTTCTGAAGCTTCAGCCTCAGAAATGTATAGAAGAAAACTATTTCCCTTGGTAAACGAAGCCTTGCTTTATTCAATTGGTGGAAGTGTAGAGTACAGCAAAATAGTTAAAGCTTCACTGTAATGGTCTGAAAGCAAACAATTTTTTTCCAGGTGATATTGAATTAAAAACTCCATCCATTTTCTGCTCATGCAAGGCAGTTCAATTCCCTGGAAATTGATTTTTTTTTTTCAGGGCTTAGTATGGCTTTTCCTAAGCTTTAGCTATATGGAAAATAACACTGTTATTGAAGCCACTTAGTGAATAAAGTTGGCAGTTAATTTTTAAGCAAGTGGACCAATGTGTAGAAAATTACTGAATGCATCAAATATAATCTGATAAATAATTATTTAGGGGGTTCTTTGAAACTCTAAAACAATATTTTGTGAACACCAAAATAATTCACTACTATTTGTGATACAAGCGAGAGTAGTATTTGTGGTATGGAAGTTTTACAGAACCTGGGGAAAATGTGTGTGCTGTTTTATATTTTAAATTATGGAAACAACTTTATTAAAATCATATGCTATGCTTTTTCTTTATCATATTTGAGTATATGTGCATTTTGAAGTGCATTGATTTGGTACTTTTCTATCAGCATGTGATTTCTACCCATTTAGTGCTGTGTACTAATTTATCATTTCCAAAAAAAAAAGCTATATCTACTCTAGGAAAATCATCAGCATTACTGTTTGTTTAGTGTTAATTATAGGGTCACCTGAGGACTTTTCAGGGGCTGATCTGTTTACAGATCGTGAATAAGATTACTGAGGGCATGTGTGTGTTGTCTTTCCAAGTTTGACTTTGCTTGTGTGCAGCACTCACTCGTTGGCATTGGTCCTGTGCAGCACTGGAGACCGTGTTCTGATCGCTGTCTCTGACCTGACCCTTTTGAGCTATGTTATATCATTCCATTTTGACACCTTTTATCAAACTTTAATGAAATGACCCAGGCAAACAAATTGTCATTAAACTTTCCATCACTTTGTCCCCTGGTATCGTCTTTTATAAATTGGACAGCAAATGTTGTATTGATCTTCTCATTCTTGCAGCTGAACTTGAAATGACCCAGACCGCTTGTTGTTTATGGCCCAGAGTTGCTTTTCCTTGACATTTTCATCCACAGTATGACACCCTTTTTGTTTTTCTTTCTTTCTTGTGGAGATGAATGAACAAGACATACGATATCGAGACACTCTTGGTCATGGCAACGGAGGCACTGTCTACAAGTGAGTAGTGAATTCCGTTTAAACTTTCTACCACTTTCACCGCATGTGGGTATCCCGAGTTCTCCTCAGCAGAGATTTTTAAATGACCATGAGCGCTTAGGTTTTATTTCCACATTTGACTCCCAGATTCTTTAAGGCATCTATTTTCTCAGGAATTGCTTTAAAAGGTGCATTTATATAGCCTTTTTTAATATCTGAGTCTGCATCTCTCCTGAGTGAACCATTAATAGTCCACCATTAGCAAGTATACATTTAACTGGCCTGAAGTTTAATATGTTTTTTTCTTTGCTCTTTAACCCCATGATTTTTTTTTAACTGCTACCACCCTGTGCTAGTCCCCTGCCTATTTACAACTATGCCCAGTGGAAGACAAGCCTTTTAAATACCACCGCTCTGCCCTGTGTCGACACTCTGTTATTAAACCGCCTTCTTCCTGTTGTATTTCTTTCTGTCCTTACCCTGCTCCCCGAGAGAATTTCTACACATTGATGAATATGTTAAGTTATAAAATTCTCCCAAATTCTAGCTGCAGTGATCCTACCCTAAAGGAGTGTTCATTTTCATATTAAAAAATGCTAACCATAAAAAATAGTTTTCTCAACAGGGAAGTCTTTCTCATGCAGTAGTGCAAAGTTTAAACTTCATAATGTAATATCTGGTACTTAATAGTCTGCAATGGTGTATGAAAAATATTCCACCAGGAATTAAAAAATCCATACTCTGTGAGAAAGCCCCGAGGGAATAATAAAGCTTTCCTCCAGAGAGCTGTTTTCCATACACACGCTAACCTTGCAACACGTTGTGATTGCGTTTTTACCTCAGATGTTTCAACGTTGATATTAATATAAGTTTTCAGAGTTGTAAAATAATTTATTTTCTAATTGGTTACTAATGTTCTTAGAATTTTACGTTCTGACCAGCCGCATGAGTACAGATAAAAATTGCCCCGTGGCCCTATGACCATGAAGGGTCACATCCTAAAATCCCAGAAATACCTCCTCCACATGTAGGCGCAGCCTTGGCATAGAATCAGAGTCCTCAGGCTTCAAAGCTCCTTCAGAGACACCTGTTCCAATCCCACCCAGGGCTTCAATCCTCTCTGCAAGTAGAGCCAGGACGGGAGTCTTTTGTTCTGAATATAATCCTTTAAGAACTGACGTTTACATATTTGGATCATTTTTTCCTACAGATGACTGGGTACAGTGAATGGTTGCTCTGAAATTCAGAGAATTAAGTAATGACATATTTCTGATACAGTCTTTGGGTCTTGCCTTTAAAATGTTTGATGGCTGATGTGTCTAATGAGTTGGAGGCTAGCATCCCTTCCCGTGCAGCTCCCAGTTCTGCACAAACAACATCTCTTCATTTTAGTCTGCTCCTCCGTACTTTTTTGAAAAAGATTTTATTTATTTATTTTTAGAGAGAGGGGGAGGGAGGAAGAAAGAGGAGAGAAACATCAATGCATGGTTGCCTGTCATGTGTTGCCTACTGGGGACTTGGTCTGCAACCTAGGCATGTGCTCTAGACTGGGAATTGAACCACCAACCCTTCGGTTTGCAGGCTGGCACTCAAGCCAGTGAGCCACACCAGCCGGGGCTCCTCTTTACTCTTATCTGACTTGAATTTTTACCCTGTTCTTAATATTTGTGGGTTCAGGGACCCTTAGAAAGGAAAGAAAGAATGTGTACACTCCATTTTCCTTCTCTTGAGTTCCCAAAAGGGAGAATTTTCAAAGCCTCAACCTTTCTTCTTAATGCTTTCGTGCTGATAGCCAGGTATAATAATACAGGAAAGATTTCTAGCTACTCTTTGGATTCCTTTTATTGGCTTCAAATGGAATCCAAGAACAATTAGACTCCTAATGCATTTCTTCTTTGTGCTGTTTCACCAAATGTTAACTGTCAAGCGTGTTTATATTTTTGTAATTGAAGGCCTGTTGTGAATTTAATATCCCGGTTGGTTTTAGAAGGGAGAAAACACAAGACCACCAAACCCTAGCAGACAATGTTTATTAGAAATAATACTCTAATGTTAAAATCCTGATCTTTTACCTTAAAACACAGGTTTCTATATAAAAAAGGGGGATAAAGGGAAATTGAAATAACATGGCCACCTGGCAAAGAAAAATTAGAACAAGATTGTTAGTATTTTTTAAATAGTATTTTTAACTGCGATAAAATACATATTACATAAAGTTTACCCTCTCAGTCCTTTTTAAGTCTGCAGCTCAGTGGCATTGAGCACACTCATATTGTTCTGCAACCATCAGCACCGTCCATCTGCAGAACTCTTCATCCGGCAGATGGGACGCCCTGTGCCCATTAAGTAATAATTCCCCGTTCCCCTGGCTAATGTTTTTAGCAAGAAGCACGGCTACAACTTCTTTGATTAGGGCCATCGTATCCAAGGGAACGTCCTCCCACATGCCCAGAGCCCAGACCTGTTGATGTGCCAGAATGCTGCAGTGATGTTAGCAGTTTATACGGAGTTCATTTAGCTGCCTTTTCTTAGGCTCAATATGCATTATTTTAAGACTTAATGTTTTTGACAGTGGCTGTCTATGGAGGGTGAGTGGCAGCATTATGATCATTTTAGTGCTTTTTTTGTATATTTGATTTCTTATAAAAAGAGGACATTTCCGTTATCATGTTGCCCAGGTGATTCTTAAGGGGAAAGGGTATGAAGATACCTAATTGCATAACCACTTGTCATTGGTCACTGGCCTTCGTGTTTTCCTGGGCTTCACTCTGTGTTGTGTTTGTGTCCCTGGCTTTTAGTTCAGCACAAAGAAATAGTATAATCATCAAGAAATGAAGATTACTTTACTAAAGTCTCTATAAAATCAAATGTTTGATGTGTTATGATTGACTTTCTCCTACACTATGTTTACCTTAATGGTGTTGACTATAAAAATTGTGATTTTTTTCAAGCAAAATGATTACATTACAGGCTATGCTACATAAACTAGATGAAGAAAATATTGGAAAATCCACTCATTGGTAACAAAACTGCCTAATGGGCCTATTTAATTTTTTATAAAGTATAATAAAGCTAATAAATGCAAAGCAAAAGCTTAATATTTCAGTCCTATTTGCTCACTTGATGGGGTATGGTGATTTTCAAGGGATAAACTGCAATATATATTATTTAATAGTTGATCACATTTTCGTCCCTTAAGTCTGTATGTTCTCTCCCAGTCTGTTCACATTGCACTGTGTGCAATGTGAAGTTCTGGGCCCGGGCATTTGAACCAGACGTGCAGTCTGTGTGTAATCCCCTGCTGAGCTGCTCTCTGTGTGATGATAGTGACCTAGGCAGATCATCTTAAATTGATGTTTCTTGGATTACTGATTTGGGTGAAATGGATCATAAAGGAAATACCTTAGACTAAAATATAGCCCAAGCCTAGGAGGCAGAGTAATTTAGGAAAAGGAAATGCATTCACTTTTCATTATTGCTCCATTTACCAAAGTCCTACAGGTTGTTCCAAAAAAATTAATTCAGGAAAGACACATGATCTGTTCCCCTGGGACAGATTCATAGTGAATTTCAAAACTCTGAGAAAGTAGAGAGCAGTATGTGTTGTGGTTAAATGTGGGGGGCTCTGAGTTGTGAAGCCCTGCATCTGCCACTAACTAGCCGTGTGACCTTGGGAAAGTTGTATAATGTCTTCTGCCTCAGTTTCCCCATGTATAAAATGGGGATAGTAGTAACATCTGTCTTACTGAGTTGTTGTCCGGTTAAATGAGATGGTCCATAGAAGAGGCTGAATTACTGCTGTGACTGACACTGAATGTCAGCCACTGGTAATGGCTGGACTGGTAACAGAAAAATCCTTAAGTCCTGTGCTTTCTGTGCTTACTCAGCCATGGGATTCTGTTTCTGAGATACACCTATGAACATCTCACAGAATCAGAGTTGTGTTGAATGAACTTTGAGGAATTCTGCATTATACTATGATATGTAGTATACTTCTATGTTTTCTTATATTCTCTAGTCATCTCTATAATGAATAATTATAATAAATAATTATAATTCATGTTATATAAATTATAATGAATATAATTTGTTATTATATCTTACATTGATTTTTTTTAAATTTCAAAGTATTTTTCTTTCGTCAGTCGATTTCGTTCACTTTTGTAGGACAGCTGGTGTGGTGTTAAGCCCATTTTACCGCTGGAGAAAGCCGAGGCTCGCATTCCTGTGACCCTTCGGTAGCAGAGCCAGGGCTCCTCACAGCACCTCTGCCTCTCACTCTGTGCTGTTGCCCTAGGCAGTGTTCCTTCTCAAGGTCAGACAGAGTCCATTGTGTTTCCTTGTATTTTCCAGTGTATCCAGCATAGTCCTAAGGATAGAATAGATGCTTTATACACGTTAGCTGAAATGGAATGAGGCAAGAGGAAGTTTTTACAAGCAGGTTTTAGTAAGGCTCTTTAATTGTGTCCTTCCTATATCCAGCTTATTTTAGATCCTTCCTAATTCAGAGGCTGCATAATTGTTTTAGAACATTAACCCAGAAGAATAGGAATTTCTGAACTAAGAGCATATATTTAAATGATTAATCCTGTTTCAAATGTTTAAAACTTTGAGTACTTAGCACTCATTAGCCCAACATACTAGTTAATGTTCTCTTTTGGGGGTAGTACTTCACATTGAAATGAAAGCAGTTAACAGTCTCAGTTCCTTTGGAAACATTCTGTAATAGTGAAGGCCAGTCACTCAGGTTCTTCGCTCCCTCCTTAGTTTAATGGAGTCACCTACGCTTTGGTTCCAGAAGTGAAGTAATGTTTAACTCTTAGCACATAAGTCATGGTAAGTCAGTTAGCTAACAAGCTCTTAAGGATCATCTTTATATTTTTTTCCTTAATGCAGATTATTCAGGCTAAGACTCAAGTTGTCAGCTTTGTGGCCATGTTTTCTACTCTCTAGGTGTTTAAAAACAATAATGAATTTTCTACCTCCATCTGCTTTCAGATCTAACCTGGATCTGGGGTAGA